CCCCCGCCGCCACCACAGTGACCACCACGCCCTGAAGCCCTGAGGCGACCACCGCGTCGTTCATCTCCTTCGCCTTCGCAGACGCTCGTATTCAATCTTCGACATCCTCAAACCTCCAACTCTCGACCTCAACCCTCCACCCTCCACTCTCCACCCTCTCCTCCCGCCGCCTCTCTGCTCGACTCGACTCGACTCTATTCGATTCGAACTGTAACTCCAACTCCAACTCCTTCGGCGCCGTCCTCTTCTCTTCTTTTGTCCCCTTCTTACCCTCTCACCGCGTCCACACTCGTTCCCTCCAATTCCCAAGCTTCATCCCCCCCCCCCCCAGCTCTCTACACCGCCAAAACAAGAGACAACTTCCTCCTGCGCTCTACCGCACCGCATACCATACGACATCACAGCACAGCCGCTGCGTGCAGTAGTAGATAATTTGCAATTATCACGATCCACGCTTTTCCACGTCTCATCTCGCCCCAGGAGTCCTCCTGAAGCAGGGTCGCCGGAGCCACTCACCGCGACCTCTCCGATAAGCTGAAACACTGACTGGGCCGCACCGACATCCTGCTCGGTATTCTGCATTTTTGTTGCATCCGTACCAACCGCCTACTCACGACCACACACGATTAACACATCGGTCGATTGAATCGACTGTCACTTCGGTGGCTCTAATTCTTGCAACTATCTCCTAATCATTTCCCGTCGAGGAACGGCCTGTCTCCGCCTCCCCCGACTCCCATATGCCATCATACGGATCGCTTCACTCTCCATCGCTTCGCAAAATGAATGGAGGAATGGATAGCAAAGGCAGGCGGACAGTTGCCACGAGGGGCATGAGTATGGGCAATATACTAGGTGATCCTTTCGCGCTGGCGACCGTCTCGATTGCGATGGTATGTTTGTCTGGATGTCCCCCAAGTTGGCGGTGCCGAGCTACGTATGCGAGGACTGATGAGGATGAATGGTGCTAACGGGAATAATCAACAGCTAGCATGGCTGATCGCCTTCGTCGGCTCGGTAATCGCGACGGCGGAGCAGTTGGAGATCCCTTTCCCCAATTATTCGTGGTTTGCCGTCGCATATATGCTTTGCGCCATCATTGGCGTATTTGTAGTAATTGCCTGGGATGCAACGGAAACCTACAACGTCGCTGTCGTTGGTTACCTTGCTTGCGGGCTTGTCTTGACCAGCTCGTCAGTTAACTCGGTCATATACTCTTCGAATGGCGCAAAAGAAGCAAACGCTGCTGGCCACATTTTGCTTTCCATGGTTAATGTATGTTGTTACTTCCCCTAGCATCCCTCCAATACTCGAACTAACAATGGGACTAGATTGTATGGATCTTCTATTTTGGATCCATGCCCTCTGCCCTACCCCGGGCCTACCTTGACTCTTTTGCGCTGCACAAAGAGCATAGAGCTTCTCAGAGCGGAAGAGGGGTGAACAATGGCTATGCTGGCGGCCGTCCCGATACCTCCATCTCCTCCAACGTCCCCCCTCAAATGTACACATCTGCCCAGCTAGGAGGCTTCGAGAGTGCATCCCCCGCACCAGGATACTCAGGACTAGAACGGGACTCTTCGCAAGTTAAGTTCGGCAATGGCAACCCAACCACCAACCAAGCCACAAGCGGACCTCTCACCGGCGAACCTACACCAGGAGAAGTTGTTGCACCTACAGAATACCCATACCGTGCGAAAGCCATCTACTCATACGAGGCCAATCCCGACGATGCCAACGAGATTTCGTTCGCAAAGCACGAGATATTAGAAGTATCAGACGTGAGCGGACGGTGGTGGCAAGCCAAGAAAGAAAGCGGAGAGACTGGAATCGCGCCTTCGAATTACCTGATCCTGTTATAATCCTTTCTCTTGGAACCAAACCAGGTCTTTTTCTTTAGGGTCGGGGTATCTTATTCTTTTCCTTCGTGAAAATGGGAAAGAATTATGGGCGGGTTTATAACGGAGTGAGAGGAGTTCATCTTGTAATAAAGCTCAATGCGATAACGATCCCTTTGCATTTGGTTTTCTCGTTTTCATTTCCCCCCCACAAAATCAACCATCAAACCCTGGCTTATTTCCGAACTTCTCAAAATCTCTTGATGATATGGTCCGAACGTCAGGTTTTCTTTGCAATACCAGCAGCGCTGTGCTGCTTCCTACTATTATTCTGCTAGGTTGCTTCAACCGTGGCATTCGTTTATTGTCCTCGATAGGAAATGGGACGGGGTTACGAAGCCCTAGAGAAGACCGCATATATGCACTCCTCCTGTACACCACTCGCCACCTCCAGCGCAGCAGCTTTTCCGTTTTTTCCCCTGTGTATGTGGGCATGTGTGTTGATTGGGGTTTTATGTGAATGGATGGATGATGGATAAGTGGCACATAATGTTCACCTTATACATCTGGGCTTTTGTTTTGAGTTGAGCTTTTGCGGGGTTTTATGTATGTATGAATGGTCCTGATAAGGGAGAAGAAATACGACAGAGAGAGAGAAGTGTAGCGAGAAATTGATAGATTGGTTTTCATGATTGGAGAGAAATGATGGATGTGAAATAAATGAAAATGAAGTGAAGTGCAATGAAGAATGTGCGTATTATGGATCTGTGACGTGAGTGAGCAATGGCAGAACTTACTTAGAAGTAGCAGGGTCTTGAGAATAAGACGCTCTTATTTTAATCGATCATCTATAGCAGAAGCAGGATACACATCGATATATTCCCTACATGACGAATTTTAAGCGCGGCCCATTTTGTTCTATTTAGTGATTAAAGATCATAGGACGAATAATCATTAGTGTTTGGGAATGGGTAGGTAGGATAAGGGTAGCTGTATAGAAACCTATTGGTAAAAGTTCACAAACCGAAAGATCGAGTTGGGTCGGCGGATCAATTAATCATATAGCATAGCGTAGTCCTCCTGATTTCGAGCAAATAGCATCGGCTCTGCGCTATATTGTTCAACGCTTTCCTCTATGTACATAAGAACTTTTTCTTCGTAGGGGTCTAATTCCGTGTATAGCACTGCGACCAAAAACTTCGCCTTGATCATCCCCCTAGTTTGGGCAATGGCCAAAACAGAAAATGGACTTCCTCACAGCATATACGCAAGACGTATGGAAAAGGGTATTTTTGAATTTGGAAGACGGTGGCTTTATTGATGACTAGGAAGGGTATGTGTCTTTAAATAAACAGAAAGGCCAACTTTTCTGAGCTCCATTGCTTCTACCGCATATCTCGTGTAGAGAGAGACGAAGGGTTGATCCCATTTGATCAACACTCCTTCAGATCGACTTATCACAGCCAATTCTCCCAAGCAATTCCTTTGTGTCGCTTGGTAAACTAACACCAGTGGCACTACTCGTGCCTTTTCTATACCGAGACGCATTTGACGTCCTGCCTCGGAGATTGATTGCTTCAACCCCAACTTCCTCTTCGTAGGGTTGGGGCACCTTCTCGCCCATCTGCTCCAGAGCCGCATGTCTTTCGTCTTCGATCTCCTCCTCCTCCTCCCCTTCGTCATCACTACGAGTGTCATCTGCTTGACCGCCTCGGATCACCTGGAGTGCGACCCTGCAAATCATCACAAACCACATGATAGTGATGACTTGCAGGAAGAGAAGTGCGCCTAGGAACCCCGATTTGATGTTATCATTGAAACATACCACGCCTTTAGGGTCACGGAACGGCTCCAGAAGGTGTCCAAACCGGTCTGGAGGCGGGAATGGCCCTTCTATGGCGCCTTTCTTGCCGCGGTAGCAGCCATAGCCAATGGTCACTGGAAGGTCGGCCCAGATGGAGTAGCAGATCGTGAGGTACACGACATGACGCGCCCCAATCCAGACGAGCAGGAAGAAGGCGAAGGCAAAATCGCATGCCCTGGAGAAACCAAGGTACTTGAGGCACTTGGCGAGCTAAAATCACCATGTCAGTTATTTGGCATACAGCAACTTCCAGGTGTATGGGGACCCTACTGAAAGGAAGATATCTACACTATCCATGACGCAGAGGATCATGTTGGCGACCTTGGTTTGATGGTAGCCGTAACTCGTGAATATCAACATGGTAGTAACAATATGATGCGTGAACATCTGCCAATGATCTTTTCTCCTCTCCTCGATATTTATAACCATGATCTGCTGAAGCCAGAACGCATACTGCACAAGAATATACCACTTTACAAGGCCCGTCATCTCGCGATTTGGGAAATTGACCCAGAGATTCTTCAAATTGAGCCAGTAATCGGAGTTGACCAGGATGTACTTTTTAATCTGTTAACACCAATTCGACATCTTGTAAGGGGGGCTGCAGCTTACCATTCCTAACGGGAAGAAACAACAGTAGTATACGATGAGCCAAGCCTGCTCAGCAAATCTCGTCTGGTCCCTCTGTGTCTTGACTCCCCCTTTCTTCGCAAATGGCATTAAGATGTAATCCATGACCGCAGCACGAAGCCCCGTGAACACGACAATCCAAAAGAGCACCATCCAGGCATCATTCCAGCCTGCACAATATTCACCGGATTCCGAGTTGAAGTAGGAGAGCTCGAAAAATTTGCGAGTATGTCTTCGAGCGCGAGGGAACGAGAGGTGGGTCAGGGTCAAAAGCAAAAAGAGGTTGAGGGATAGCCCTGAGTTCCTGGTTAGCGGTATTGCTCCGAGTATGGGGGCAAATGGAAGTACCAATTTGATGCTCTACAACCCATGAGCAGAAAATGTCCAATGGTCCATCGTCCTTCCGTTTTGCCTTCTTCATTGTGAACATTGGGGGGGATTCGAATCCGATGGGCGGCCCCGGATGAAGCTTCTCCTCGAACCTCTCTAGGTTATCCCCATTACAATGGTAATCTGAAGACTCGGACGCCATCTCAACCTCAACAATTCTTTTGGGGTCTTCTATTGCCACTGAGTTGTTGATCATCGTCTGAATCTCGTCTCTATGGCCCAGGGGCACTGCGGAGAATAAAATTCCCGCCAATTGGGAAGTAAATCGGTCCTAACGTTGCCGAATTAAAGAGCAGGAAAGAAATCGGGATGAGTTCTATGATACAGGACAATCCATCGGGGGATTTTGAACGAGTGTGGGGGATGTATTGGTCCTGTTGCTGCAGTGGTTGAGGTGTGGGCGTTGCTTGTGGCTGAGAAGAAAGCAAAGGCGGTGAAGCGAACTGCCCGCTGGTTAAATTGAGTTTAAAAGGGGTGATTTACACATGGGGCTTTTCCGCTAGCTCTTTCGTTGGATATTGTTTCTCCATGCTAGACCGGTCCTTGAGCTGATTTTGGATATGATAGGGCTTCTTCAATGCAAGCGACCAATCTAACTCTATGTAATGTAATGCGCTGGCGAGAAGACGACGATCACTCAAGGCCCGGCGAGAGTGGGTTGGGAGGGAACTACTTCGTACGTGAACATGCACATGAGCCTCGGGTTCAACAATGGCACTATCAATCCCTAGAGACTTTAGAGCGTAGTTTCTGCGATCCCTTTAAGCTTAACCCTTCAATGCATGCTAGGCCAACAATGAAAAGTTCTCCAAGGTATGGGGCCGTAGCCAAGCTTTCCATCAATAGTCTCGTTAAACCAGGAGATTGCGGTGTCTTATTGACGCCAGAGCGTCCTCTAATACTTCGTAACTCTCTCGCAAATGCAATGGATTTGGATAGTCTTTTGGAACAACTCTTAATTCCCAATGCCGTGGAATCTAAAATTTAGAGGTCTCACCGGGCTTTATCATACTAGTTCGAGTCCCTGCAACTCGACCCCGCTCAGGGTCCTACAGCTTGCAGAGACTGGACCTAGTCTATTACTGAAGTTGATCTCGGGATTGATGGTTTAATCTTAGTAATAGAGAGATAAAATTTCATCTACCAATTGCAATCAAATTGAATAATTGATACAAATAACATCCCTAATATTAGGCCGCCGAAACCATTTCCCTATCCATGCCAACACAACGCCGAAGTAACATCGAAAAACGCAGAAAATTGATCTACCAAATAGAACTTCTCTCAATCGTAGGGGCTTCGCCAGTCTTCAAGCAATGCCGGAATATTCAAGCTTCGACTTTCCTAGTTGTTCTGTTGGTTGAGGATTCGAAGAATGGCAAGGAACAAGTTGATGATATCGAGGTAAAGGCTAATCGCAGCGGCAATCTCCTCCTCGACATGGTAATGTCTCATGATAAGCTGCGTATCCACCAAAATATACGCAGAGAAGAGCAACGCGGCAACACCGGAATACGCAAGCTCAACCGTGCTGTTTCCAGGGAAGAACATCGCCATGAAGCCGAAGAGAACCAGCGCCCACAAAGCACCGAACAAATATGGCATCCAAGATGTAAAGTCGTACTTTGTCTGGCATGCGAAGAGCGTGAGCGCAACGAAGATGCCGGCCGTGAGCAGGACTGCTTGGAGGACGATTCGCGAGTCGTAGAAGGATACGATGACGGATACAGAGTATGCCTCAAGTACTGTAAAACCTGATAGGAAGAGGAGGTTCGTGGGGTAGGACTTTCGCTTCCAGTAGGTCAATAGCATCATGGCGATGGCACCGAAGAGCTATGTAATGGTTAGCAGGTTGCCCTAGACGTCGGATATGGCTGGACTCACCGAGATGAACAGCATCCATGGATGGGACCGGATCCATAGCTTGTATGAGGGGCTCCAGAAGGAAAAACAACTTATGATACCAGTGGCAATAAGCTGCACAGTGCTGCATTTTGCGTCAGCGTACGAAGTACCGTCAGAGGGATATACTAGGGGAGACTCACAGAATAGCGTAGACCTTCCTCACGAAAGCCATTCTAATATCGATGGTTGCCTCTGCGACCGAGCCTCCGAACTACAATAGCATTAGCCACATCGTCACCTATTCAACCCCACTACCATGCTAACCTTGAAGTCATCGGGAATGTTGTCCTCGCTGCTCCTTGGGCCCCCTAACAGCGCTTCTTGATCGGCGGACGAGGACGGCTCAGCCGCATACGATGGAGGGGCTTGGGAATATTGAGCATCGTCGTCATGAGCGACGGCCGTGTATCTGGTGTTTGACATCGCGTACAGCAGCGTTGAAGGCGTCGATGGGTGATGGGAGGGAGAGTGTCTGAAAGCCCACGGCGATGAGAATGCGGATGTGGTGTGTTGCCTGGTAGTGGGCTGAAGCGTTGTTGGTGGTGGAAGGTTTCAGCTAATACGGATGAATTCCTGCCATTGTTGGTTGTACGACTCCAGGGGAGGTCGAAGGATCCCGCATGGTCATGTGGGGAAACTTCCAAGGTTGACACCCCAACGCCACAGTGTATAAGATACCAATATAAACTACGTAACTTTCTTGTAGGTGTTTTAGTCTTGAGTTTGGAGGATCTATATGAGAGTCTCGTTACTATTTCGAGAATACAGTACAGTATCCCTTCCTTCGTAATTGGAACGCAAGCATTCTCACTTGGGCCGGAGCGATCAGTTCGAGTGCATCGGATAAGGTTCAGCTATGGTTGCTAATTTCAGCAACGCGAACAAGGTAATCTGGAGGGTGACTACAACAGCTCAGGCCAGATGTACTGCTTTTCTAGCTGGCTTAGTTGTCCAGTGGCATGCTATAAGATCCTGCACTATCGTATCATATCATCTAACCGCGACGGTCCCGTTGATACTTCTCTTCCAACTTAGCAAAAGGTACATATGGAATAAGATTAATACAAACATCATATTTCAAAGGCTCGAAAACTACAAAAAGACTATATAAACCATGGTTTTATTCACAATCATCCATGTATTGTCATTGGGACCATGGCAAGCGGAAAAAATAATTTAGCTGCACATTAGAAGGTGATAAGGAAACGCATCATTAGCTTTTCGGAGCCAAAAAGCTTCTTGCAAATGCCGTCAACGACCCGCAAAAAGAAACCCCAGCTCCAAAGATCCATCGAAAACGAGAATTGCAGTCCCCAGCTCTGACCACCAACCTCCTCGGCCTCTGATAAGTAGTCCCCCGTGAAGCCACTATTTCTCAACCACCTCAAGCCTCCGAGTGATCCGCTTGCCCATTTACGGCCTCCATGTGCGCGCTTTGCTCCCGGTGCATTCTTGCCTCGATCTCCTTGAGCTGGCTTTCGCGTGCTAGCAACTCCTGTCGCTTCTCGTTGATTTCCCGTTGGACCTTGATTTCGATTTCGCGGAGCTTCTCCTCCTCGCGACGAAGCTGCTCTTCCTTCAGACGGACGGACTGGGATGCCAAATCCTCGGGGTTCATGGATGAATCACTACGTATAATGTCAGTATAGGTCTAAATCAGCCCTCAAAATGTTGGACTTACGCTCCACCACCACCCTCGACGCTCTTGCTGAGCTTCTCGGTACGGTAGTTTTCATAGAGGAAGTCATGCGTGATTTCCTTCAGATCTGCCAAATGGCTGTGCAGAAGAGCGCTTCGGATGGCGAGGAAATCGGAATGTCGCGGGTTGTCAACCTCCACAACACCCCATGGATATTGCCTAGCACGGACTTTACGGCCTCCAATTTCGACAATCTCCTCGGAACCGACAATTGCAAATGGCATGAGCCCACGGAGCTCGGCGTTTTCTTCGACAGTATCCTCGTCATCCTCCTCGATATCGTATGGGAAGTTGTAGACGGGGATTCGATAATGTTCAATGTCTTCCATGACCAGCTTCTTTGATTCGGCCAACTCGGCGGGTGTGAGGGAGTCGGCTTTGCCAATGACGGGAATAACATTGACTCTGGGTGACAGACGCTTCATGAGTTCGATATCAAGTTCGCGAAGGCTATAATTTGGTGAGTTCTAGACGTAGGTATTTGCGGATGGAACACATACCCATGGCCGGTAGGGGTGATAAAGTAGAGCAGAGCATGGACTCGATTGTCACGGAAACGGGGGTTACGCTTGATACGCGACTCCTCCGCAAGAATATCATCATATTGACGCTCGAGATAACCAACGATCTCGCCGAAGCTGGAATTGAGTTAGCATGGATCTCATCCCGTTTGACTTCCCTTATCTAATCTGGAGTATCATATCATACCTTGCCTCGTTGTCAATTAGGTCACCGAACCCTGGGGTATCAACAATTGTGAGAGAGATACGAGTTCCTTCCTCGTCCAATTCCAACTCTGTAGTGTAGTCAGCGACCGCGATCCATGCATAGGTAGGTATCGAGATGGGAGATGCGCACCAACGGTAACGGGCTTGATCTTGACATTCTCCTCGAGATGAGCGTTTGTCGCGTCGTCGGCGTCCTTTCCGGAGAGGACCTTCTTGCCGCAGAGGGTGTTCACGAACGTAGTGCGCCCTAGTCGCGACCAATTAATCACCTTATCAACGCGTTTCACAGGGTGGTGCGACAAACCTGTGCCCGAGGCTCCGCACACCATCAAACAGAACTGGATACCCTTCTTGACATTCTTCTTCCGGCGGATCTTGATCTGCGAAGACCTAGTATCAGTAATGGCACATCGAGAAGACTACTGTAGATAGGAATCGAACCCCAGAGTGGTACTACAGTCACCGATGATCAGAATAACGAAAAGGGGGTGAGTGGGTTAGGAGCTGTTGATTAGGGAACGTACTGCGCTCAGTGGAGAAGACATGATGATGGGTGAGATTTGGAGGGGATCAGGGCCACCGTCTAGTATTGACTGACTCGACGTATGGCGGATATGGAGGCAGCGGAGGGGGGGAGCGAGATGGGATTCGGGATCGAATTCGGTTTCGTGGGGATGTCTGAAGGGTCGCGAAATTTGAAGTTGCGGTCGAGCGAGGTTGCTGCTTCTCAGGGGAATTGGGGGAATGAAATTTAGCGAGATTCCATGTTAGACAAGCTCGAGACAAGGAGCTGGGGGGGTGTTATTTTGCCCCTATCCACCGAGTACACCGGCCTCATAAGGAGCTATATCGCAACCAAAGAATATGCCACGAGCGGGGATTTATGGTTAGAAGCACTAGAATAGGAATTACGCTGTTTGTACGTATTTATTTTATCTATAATTCCCGTAATGCTGTTCTGCTGTCCTGCTATTCTGTTGAGTTGCGATATTCTGCCGCCCTGTCTCGCCGGCCAGAGAAGGCGGTGGGAGCTACTCCATACGGGGTCGACGCTATTCCGCATCCGGCCAGCGCTACTCGCGCCAGGGACAAGGCTGAATGGGAATTGAGAGTTGGAACCCCCTTCAACTTCACAGCAGCAACAACAGTATACAGTACTCGTAGAAGGGGTTTCGAGAATAGGTGGCATTGGCAGTATCATTCTTGCGGCTTCGGATGCCAGTCAATACAGCAATCTGGCTGGTTTGATTTGCATTTTACCGTGCTCTCTGCTTCCACCGTACAAAGTATCATAGTGGAGTACGAATTACTCGTACTTGGTGGCGGCCTGCCGCCCTGTCCAGCCTGTCACGGGCACTTCGTACCTCTCGGGGCAGCCAGAAGGGTAGAAACACAAGACCGTCATCACAAACCACCGCTGCGCTTCCATATCTACCTTACGTAGGATGATCAGCTCCAGCTCGACAAGATTAAGGGAACATGCGCAGAGCTAGATATTAGGAAAACCACATCTCTTGGATTACACCCCCCAGCTGTCGACGCCCTTTGCAGAGCTGCCATCATGAATACCCGACCTGTGATCGAGAGCTCCAGCACGCCGGTAGCCTTGTCAGCCTCCTTCAACCAAGACGCCAGTTGCTTCGCTGTGGGACTCGACACTGGGTTCTGTAGTACGTTACGTCTGGGCTAGCTACCAGGAAACCGAATACTAATGCCCATTCCAGTATTCAACTCAGAGCCATGCCAGCTCCGGGTCTCTCGAGGTACGGCTAGAACTCAGCCCATGACTAATTATTTTATTAAATACTAAGTATCATAGACTTCAACGCGGGTATCGGCGCCGTATCGATGCTTGGGAAGGCAAATTTTATCGCCCTAATAGGAGGGGGAAAGCTGCCCAAATTCCCCCAAAATAAGGTCTGTGATGAATGGGAATCTATTCAAGACGAGGGGCTGATGCCGCATTCAGGTGATCATCTGGGATGACGCAAAGCAGAAAGTTGCCATACAACTGCCCGTCCTAACGACGGTTCGTGGAGTGAAATTCTCAAGATCACATATCGTAGTCGCTCTTCAGAACAGTGTCCGCGTCTACAAATTCCAAAGCCCGCCAGAGGTGTGGGCCGTCTTTGAAACGGCTGATAATCCTCTCGGGTTATGTTGTCTGGGTCCGAAGACTCTGGCATTTCCAGGAAGGACTCCCGGCCAAGTCCAGCTGGTTGAGTTGTCTACTGGGAATGTCAGCATTATTCCTGCCCATAGTTCGCCCTTGCGGGCTCTTGATATCAGCCGTGATGGCGAGATTCTCGCCACTGCGAGCGACACCGTAAGTGCAGCTGCGTTCGAGCTATATTCTATTGATCATTCATATTAAGCTGAGCCTAGGGTACTCTAATACGGGTGTTTGCTACAAGTAACTGTGCTCGCATTGCCGAACTCAGGCGAGGCGTCGACCATGCTGTTATCTTTTCTGTTGTCATTTCTCCTTCAGGCGAATTGCTGGCTGTCACATCCGACAAGTCCACCCTCCACATATTTGACATCCCTCATCCTTCCAAGTCAACGAGATCGGAGGCTACAAATGCCACTCGAAGGCTAACATCCCAAGGCGGCGGAGGAAGTCCCGGTCTGAGCGACGTGGAAGCGAGCCAGAAATGGGGAGTCCTGGGCCGCATCCCATTGCTGCCAAGAGTATTTTCCGATATATACTCATTTGCTTCTGCTCACTTCGAGATCGGCGATGAGCCCGTTTCCGGAGGCTCAACCCCACTGAACTCCCCTGGTGACTCAGGGTTCCGGCCGCCAAAGGGTATTATAGGTTGGACTAGTGACCACAGCGTTGTAGTCATCGGGGCTGGGAGAGATGGCAGATGGGAAAGGTTCATCATTGCCGAAGGCGACGATGGTAAGAGATATTGTGTCCGAGACGGTTGGAAAAGGTACCTTGGCATCAGTTGAGGCTCTGGATGGTTCATTTGTGCTATTTAGCGTGGCGTATGGAGACCATCATATTGGAGTATAAGGGAGCTGCATGTAAACTCAGTTACTTGCTATATATAGCTTTTATCAACATCGCGAGAACTTTTATACTAGAATGCTCATAAATTATGGCATGATGATCTTGATGGCCAAACTCATTGTCTGTTGGCCCTTTGAGTAGTTCTAGCGGAAACGCAGGGAATCAGAGCGGAATTAAAAATCTTTGATCTCCTTAAGTATCATTAGATGCTAATCAGTGCTATGGTTTCCCGACTAACTCTTAGAGGTTTCCCCCTCGGAGTCTCTAGGGATATTAGCAGATAAGATGCTTTATGGCAATTCAGATATCCTTTAATTCCAGGGAACATCCGTCATGAACGTCCCCACACAGTACTGCAACGGCTATTGGTATCATAGATATTGAATTATATACGCCGGATATTTATGGCCGGACGATTGATAGCTCAATCGTCAGAATTTCTTCTTCTGGCATAACGACTCCCCCGCTCAACCGGGCCGTCAATACTCCTACTCCTACTCCTCCTTCTCTGCTCACGGTCCTTATGGCCATCATCCCGACGGCGACGCTCTCTCGCAGGGCTTGGTGATTTCTTCCGTGGCCTGGAACCCTCGTCCTCCCTGCGCCTATGTCGAGATGGCTTTTCATCACGGTGAGCACCATCGGCATGTGAACGTTCCCTTGACCGCGACCTATGCTTCCGGCGATGACGAGAACGCTTCTTATCATCGTCATCCCCACTCTCTTCACCCTCCTTCCTCGATCGTCGTGATCGATGATGACGGCGATGCTTTGGTTCTGAAGATTTTCCGCTTTTAGGCTTAACCAAAGCCAAAGCCAGCGCCACCTCTTCTTTCTTCTCCTCAATAAGAAAAGGCTTCATAGGATCATCCTCGTCATGTTCTCTGATAAGTTTCTCAAGCTCAATCTCCTCCTTGATCATAGGACGCTCCTCTTCACTCTCACTCTCACTCGTCCGTCGCCGTTTTCGCCTCCCTTCCCCATCATCATCACTTTGCTGTAATGTTTCGCCGAGATCAATTCCTTCGTCTGGCTCATCGTCCTTCTTCTTATACCGCGTATGGTCCACCCTTAACGTGCGTCCCATCACAACCGCTCCGCCCAGATTATCGACCGCGAGATCTGTGCTGCGCTGGTCCTCATACTTGAGGAACGCAAACCCTCGTGACTTTCCCGTCTCTTTGTCGCGGACGAGATTGATGTATGTAGGCTCGCCGAATTGGGAGAATATTGCGATTACATCTCCTTCGGAGAGCTCGAAGGGGAGTCCGCCAATGTAGATGTACGCCGTGTCGCGATAGTCTACATGCCATGATGCATCTGGAGACCTAAGTGGTGTTAGAAAAGGAGGGCATAATTAGAGTAAAATAGTACTTACACGTTATTCTCAAGCTCGCGCTTGTTAAGCTCTTGGATCTGCCTGATGCTGTTCATTTTTGTTTGTTGTGTAGATTTCGGAGGTGGCAGGCACAAGGCTGTAGAAAATGTACAACAAAGTTCCCGCCTCGCATGAACTCCGACGAGGTTCACAACTTTACTGTATGAGAGCAACAAACGCAGCGCAAAACCTCTCCTATTAACTAAAACCCAACCACATTTCTACCTAGTCATTGCGAATCCATGGAGAATAATACATCGAGGTGTTAACGCGTGGAATAACGGAACTCAAGCGCTGGTATCCCGGATTCATTGATTCGCGCCCCTGAAACGCGAGGTTCGATGCTATAATGGCTTCCTCAAACAACAGAACCTCGACATATACACACTCGTCGACGGGCGACCACGACCGACCAAAGAGCTCAGACGCGAAGAAGGACCTATGGTCTTCCATGCTAGATGGAGTTGCTAGCGGAAAGCGATTACCAGAGAAGAATATCCTAGTCCTCGGTAGGTTTCAACAAGCTGCGAACAAATGGCATATAACTGACGGTGAGGCAGGCGGCTCTACGGATTCCCAGAGGGAGTTTCTTGAAGGATTGGCTGCTGAAGATACGAGGAAGAATTCAGATCGGCAGAGTAGCAAGCAACCCCCTATAGCGAACAATATCGCCCTAGGATACACATATCACGATGTTCTGGATGCCGACCACGAGGGTATGGTCTCTATATATGCATGCGTGCCATGGCCCGTTGCTCATCTTGAATAGATATCCTGGCCCGCCTTTCGTTGTACCTGCTCGCCGACCCCTCGCCATCGTTCACACCCCTTCTACGACCCCTCCTGACTCCCGAAAGCATCCCAAATACCCTTATAGTTATACTACTTGATTGGTCACAGCCATGGTTCTGGCTGAGGCAATTACGGGATTGGATAAGTTTACTACGGACGCTACTGGTTTCGCTGGACGATGATTGCAAAGAAAAGATGGAGGAGGTCATGCTCAGTTGGCGAGACAGAGGGCGCGGTGGACATAGTCTCGACGGTGTAGCTACCAGCAGTACGACTGAGAGCGATATCAGCTTGCCGTTGGGTCCTGGAGAGTGGGATGCAGCCCTTGGTCTACCACTATGCGTTGTCTGTCAGAATGTGAGATATGGCCTAGTCAACCTCGTATACCATACCGCTTTGCTAACACCGTGCGTAGTCTGATCATATTGAGAAGCTGGAGAAAGAGCGATCTTGGGGAGAAGAGGAGTTTGACTTCATCTTGCAGTTTTTGCGAACGATATTACTAAAGCGTAAGTCCGGCAGTCTCGCGGTGGCCGCAGCATACTGACAGGAAATAGACGGCGCATCTCTTGTGTACACCATTCCATCCGTCTCCAGCCCGCTAAAGAACATCGTACACTCATCCCTAGGCATACATTCGCTTCTAAAACAGCAACATTTCAAACACAACGTCATTGACCGGGATAAGGTAGTGGTACCACCAAACTGGGATTCTTGGGGCAAGATCAGAGTTCTTCGGGAAGGATTTAACGTGGAGGCTATTAACAAAGCATGGTCCATTGACATCGAAGAAGATGAATTTCCTGAGCTATCACCCAGTGGCGATACGAACGACGAGGACGAGGACGAGTCGCCCAAAGCTCCACCAGGAGCCGTAGCAGCTTACGAGGCTACAATCCGTGACCCGCAGCTCGACGCTCTACAAGCAACATCCACAGAAACCAACGGGTCTAAACTCGAGGTTTCCAGCCAGGATACACAGGCCTTCCTGAGCAAGCAGCTACAAGTGCTAGACCACATCAGAATAGACGCAGATCCTTCTGGATTGGTGGCCGGGCGGAATGTGAAAGAGGCGGATGCCCAAGGCGATGAGGGTCGTGTGAGTGAGCACATTGGACCCGTGCAGTTCAATATGGGCGGTATACAGGTTGATGCCGATGATATGTTGCAAAAACTTAAGGTACGTCATGTTCCACTTCGTCACTTGTCTATAAAGGTGGCTAACCATTTCATCCAGGACCGCCAAACCTACCAAACCCCCGAGCCCACCTCCCCGGGCCTCACATCCTCGGATGGGAAGCCACAGAACCACGAGGCCTTGGCATCATTTTTCGCTGGCCTCATGAAGAGAGGTGGGGGAAGTGCTGCTAGTAGTCCGAAACCCGGAACCTCGTAGCCTGTCCATCTCCCTCCAGAAGTTGTCAATTTGTGTGGCGGCTATTAGGCCGCAGAAGCGGAAAAGCCCAGGAAGGAGTTTGGGCTTTAGGGGGGCCAAGTCAGAAATCTTCTCGTTTGTGTGTAGGAGCAAATGTAGCCCTTGCATGATACCCATAGTTTCCGGTTGATTCGTGTGTATTATTTAGCGCACGCGAGTGTTAGTGTATTTGAATTGAATTGAACAGAGGAGGTTGAATTGAATTTACGTGCCTAGTCCGTTTGTGTTTTAAAATTCCTTGCTTGTGATGGTGGTACGTCGTGAATGACGCGCGTTTAAAATTGATGGTAGGTGCTTGGGGATAATAGTAACATTCGTAGGCATTGGTATTGGTTGTATGTTCGCATGTGGACCACTTGGAAATTAAAGGAGCCCACACAAATATTCAATACTTGAAAGGTCTTACTTTGCTGAGTTAAGGCGGTGGACGAGGGGGAGGTGGGCCAAAGACCACGAGCAAAGCTTGAAAGCTCACAATGATAGCACGCAAGGCCAAAACGCAACAAACAAAGATTGAACAGCACTCACTCAGACTTCATGCCATGGTATTCGCAATGGCACTAAGTACCTAGGAAAGTTACAAAAATGTAAACGTCATGCTTTGAATAGACTATTTGAAAACGCTACTAAAGATACATAAAAACAAGAGAAACTAGTTATGTGTTGGTGTTTGACCAGATACCCCTCCCTCCTCCCATCCTAACTCCATTGACTTCCTCGTTCTATCGATTCCGTCAAAAAGACACCACCTCTCACCTCTCAACGTTGCAGATCAAATCTACCATTTACTCAGGACTCTTGACGTTGACCGCCTCGTATGTTGGAGGAGGCTCAACAAAAGACTTGGAATCGTCTTCAATATGCTCAACGGCCTCATCATCCTGCTCAACCAGGGCATACTGCTCCCGACGTCCACGGGAAGCGCGGTACACAAAAATGACGAACTTTCCGACCAACATACCAACAAGGCTTGCGAGGATACCAACGAAAACCCCAATGAGAACAGGCACAAGCACGTGCTTGAGAATATTCCTGGCCAATCGAGAGAATCCGTTTTTCTGGCGGTGATGGCGGAATGGGCGGTGGGATCCATGAGGGCGGCTTCCATGGGGGCGGTTGTGAGGACGGCCACCGTGTTTGGGACCTTCGACTTGAGCATTTGGACGACCCTTCCGGCCGCAACCCTTCAACTTAGAGAGTCGGTCGGCGATGATGGCTCTCCATTTGCAGAGGAGTGTTGTACACTCCTGCCCATCATCGTTAGGTGAGGACGATGGGCTCGTTGGGGCTGAGACCTGTGAATCTCCGAGCATCAACTTCCCACTCGGCGTCTCGACGAGTCTTAGGTCGATGCCTGGGATCCCATCGATGAAAACGCCCGCAACTTCAACAATATCGACATGGACGGCGACGAGGTTGACATTGTCCAGCTCCATGTGGACGGTATTCCTCACACTTAGTGCGTAGCCCAGGGCCGGCTCTGCTGCTTGTTGCCAGGTATCTTCCGGTGACTTGACAAGTTGAGCTGCACTCAAAGGCTTCATAAAATTCTCGGAACTAGGGTCGATAGGATAGACCTGGTTGCCGTTGAGAAGGAGCTGATCGGAATCGCCGTGAGCCACGGAGAAGTTAAGTCTCAGGATGTTCTCGGCAGCAACATGATGCAAATTGCCATGCATATCTGGTACGACGACCGGGCATCCAGGGCAGCTGATCTCGATCACACGGCGGTCCGGATGAGTGGAAGCATCGATGGGTAGTGCCTTGATAAAATCGTCGGAGATGGTTGGCGGGAGGAGAATAGCGCTCCCCAGGCCGGTGAGCGCGGCAGCGGCCCCGAGCTGTGTGAAACGCATTGTATAGTTGTGATGGGCTAAACCCTATGGAAGAAGCGATGGGTTTGGTCCTGGTCTTAGTTTGATGATGATGTTGTTGATGGTTGGTGATGTTGACGATGTCCAGGTAGATGAGGTTGGAGCAGTGGGCTGAGCCTGAGGAGAGGGGTGTGGTCAGTGATTACTGCGGTGGCGATGACACAGCCTCAAAGGATTGCGCCCAGATCAGGTTAGTCTGAAACACACGTGTTACCGTACACGCGTACACGGTGCTGGGCTTAGGTAAGCACTCGTGGGCCAAAACGGTGGAACTATTGGAACCCAGAAATAACAAGCAAGTCCTCGGAGTACGTGGTAGGTCCTAAGTCCCCAGGCACCAACCTCCCACTCTCCACTGCAGTGAACACTTGACACCTCCGTACTTGGTACTGGTGGGGAGAAACGACCCTTATCAATCTAAGCAGAGAATGGCGGTATGCAGAGGTTCGGTAAGAGGCGTAGGATGTGTACAATGTGCGACGGCACGTAGTATCAGATGTGTCACTTCTGTCGATCCTAAGTCCGGGATGCTGAGTAAAGGAGAAAGTCAAGAAATAAAAATACTGCTCAATTAGGTAAGATCGAAAGAGAGACGTGCAATTCCAGGACGTGATAGAGAGTGAGCAGAAACCTAGTAAAGCTGTGGTATCAGCGTCGTAGGATGGATGACCCCATATGAACTACACTGGGGCGCCGAGGCAGGTGCAGGGACTCGGAATTGGCTTCATGATATCAAATACTTCGTAGGGCAGAAAAGGGGTTGATATTGAACAGAAAGGAGGCAAAAAGAGAGCACTTTGGGCAGTGCCTGAATAATATATATCTAGTAAGTTTCGGTCAGGCTTTGGGTCTGTTGTCTTATTACGCTTAATCCAAGGATTTGAAGCTTTACGTGTTTTTGGTTGGAGGATAGAGAGATAGATGAATAAAATATGCCTACCTTCATCCTTTCCCCTCAACAGTTTTCAATGCCTTGCTAGTAGTACCCCGTGACAATCCTTACTTTTAGTTGTTTATACCCCCACAATAAGCATAAGCGAGTTAACCAAGATCTCGAAATTTTAAAGGAAGCTATTCAAGCGATAAAAAATAGCAAAAGAAATTTCGTCACGGAGCGTTGGATACTGAGAAACTCGAGCTGTACTAACCCCTAGCCTCTTGTTATCTCTGGCGGAGCGTCCGGGGTCACCCTAGGTTTATCAGCGGTGGCTTTTAACCACTACCCCAACGCTTCCCAGTTGCCTGTCTCGAGTTGTTTGAAGGCTTCTGCTTATCTTGATAAGGTATATACATATTGAGATATGATATATTGAATAAATATTGACTAGTCCTGGTGGAGCGCGGCAGCCGGGGGGCGCGGCACACGGAACGCGGAAAGCGAAACGCGGGCGTCGGGGAAGGAAACGCACGGATGCTTACGTGACCCAGGCAGTCTAGAATCGAACAGCAGATTAACATTATCAAAGAATACATACTGTACTGTACTGTACTGTACTGTACTGTACAGTACTGTAAATAAATTACGGAGTAAATAAATAAAAATAAAAGCGCCCCACTCCCTCTCCACAGTACATGGCGGCGGTAGTTCTCTAAGGTAGTAAGACTAAGACTAAGTACCTTAAGTACTGGTGCTTAACAAGCAGCCTGGTGCTGTGTCGAGCACCCTGACTCCCTTCCCTGCCTGACGCGAGAGCCTTATTAATATCCCGCGCCCTAGAACGCCCTCGGGCCCCGGCGCGCGGCGTGCGCGGATCGGCGGTTGCACTACTCAGTCGGACAAGAGCGTTGCCTGACTTGGCGGGCCCACCAACCACTCGAGTTCGTGTCGCCGTGTCTGGTCCGCCTGGTGCAAGTATCGTGAGGTGGGGAGGGAGCGAGGAAGGGAGCGAGGGAAGCGATCATCCAGGCGCACACCGCGTCTTGCGCTCGGTGGCAACTATTGTGTGCTAGGAGGTGGAGTGGCCCGTCGTGTGAGCTGAAGAGAAAAAAAAGTTTCTCCACGAAGACGACGCAAACGTATTTATCTAAGATCCCCCAACAGCTCTCTGCTTTCTCATTTCGCGATCAGTATCAATCCATATCAATTGCAGACGAGTGTCTCAGGCAATCCCCAACCAGAAAATAATAACATCTTTCGCACGCATCATTCCAATTGCCCGGCCACCCCTTTCTAACCACCCTCGCCCTCACCCTCACCCTCACCTCCACCTCCTTTCTCATCCCCCCCCCCACATCATCAAACCCTCACATCAACATCGCCTGAACTATGTTTCGAACACAATTGCTTCGTCATGCTGCTCGGGCTGTGAGAGCTTCCTCCAGTCCCGTTAAAGCTCGCGCAGTCCCAACCCCTCTGCTCTCCCAGACAACCCGTAGATCATTCATGATGACTGCCCAAAAAGACCAAAAGGGCAAGAAGACCAATGAAGAGCCAGAACTAGAACATGAGGGCTCCTTCGCCCGTACCGATTCATCCGTGCAAGTTGAATACCCAGCAGAAGGCGAACTGCCCTCCAGCACTCCCGTTCAGGGCAGAGGCGGAGCACATCTGAAGCGTACGCTGGCGACTTACTCCCTTGAGGGGAGAGTTGGCGTAGTCACAGGTGGCGCTAGAGGATTGGGTCTGGTGATGAGCCAGGCAATGGTCATCAGCGGTGCCGATGTTGCAATTGTGGATTTAAACAGTATGTTTCCAGCTGCTCATATCAGAGCACTTGCTAATTGAAAATAGAGGAGGAAGCAGAGAAGCAAGCCGTGGAGCTTATGGCTTCTTTCAGAAAGGAGAACCCCGAAGCAACTAAGTAAAACCCTCTATGGAAAATGCAACATAACTCTCACTGACGGAATTATAGCGTTCCATTGGTCACCGCACACTATGCGGACGTGTCCTCGCCAGAATCCGTGGAGGCAGTGATCGCAGATATCATCAAGCAACACGGGAAGATTGACAACCTCGTCACTTCGGCAGGATTCACTGAGAACTTTGAGGCCATCAACTACCCCATCGACCGAGTCCGGAAGCTATGGGGCGTCAACGTCGACGGCACCTATCTATTTGCCATCGCCGTGGCTAAGCACTTGATGGCGCGAAAGGAACCAGGCAGCATGGTCTTCGTTGGCAGCATGTCCGGTTCCATCGTCAATGTGCCCCAGCCTCAAGCACCGTACAATGCTGCCAAGGCAGCCGTGAGACATTTGGCGGCCAGTTTGGCGGTCGAGTGGGCCCATGCTGGTATCAGAGTTAACTGTATTTCCCCGGGATATATGCTCACAGCACTGTATGTTACCTATCTTCATCTAAATTCTACGAGGTTGGCCTTGCTAATTTCTGCATCACAACAGTACCAAGAAGATTCTTGATGACAACCCGGAGCTTAAGAATCAATGGACATCTCTTATTCCCCAGGGCAAAATGGGTAACCCGGAGGATCTGATGGGACCGGTTACATTCCTGTTATCGGATGCTTCATCCTATGTCACTGGTAAGAATCTCCAATCCCTATCCCCCAAATAAAGGCCCCAGATTCGTCCTTCCCAAGCTCGTACAACTTCACTGCCGCTATTTTAACTAATATATCTACTTTCTTACAGGAGCTGATCTACGTGTGGACGGCGGCTACACCGTCACGTAAAAGAAGATATCGAGAATCCATCCATCCATCCTCGAACTTTTTTAATGATTTAATTTGGCGAACGCCATATAGAAGGCTGTGCGTGTACCGGAGTATGGAGTGCGTCCGATTATGGCTGGACTATCGGAGATGCCGATGTAGTACGTAGAGCGGTTTGAGAAGGCGGGAGTTCCATGCCTATTAAGATGGCAGTAATATTGTTCTTCTGCGGGAGCGGTTCCGTATTATTTTAGAATCTAAATAAAATCCAATTATAATCCCATTCGTGTTGGTCTGATTCTGCTACATCTTGACAACATTCAAAAAATCGGAACCGCAGTGCACCATTCTCCTACATACAATATCCACGTGTTGTTCCCTCGTTCCCCAAGGTAATCCAGCCACCGCCATCATTTCCTCTCTCCCCACAATCAGCTAGCAACGCAAGTTCCTATTTCCATCACATTTGCCGCCACCCATCCATACCCCAAATGGCCCAAACTCCAATTTTTCCTTCGAGAACAACACTTACCAGCACGTGGCCGGGGTAGCCAGCCAGCAAGCCAAGACTAGAAGAATAAAGTTTTGCCGCATATTTTACCCCTGCATTTCCAGGGTCCGGGGCGGTGGAGTGGGGAGAAGGGGGGGAAGAGCGGCGAGGGAGAAACGTTCTAGAACGCTGGGCGGCTATTGGCAGGGCTAGGCAGCTCGAAGATGGGGGTGTACGGATTATTATTAGGGCCTAGTATCAGGGTTTCTTGCTCTCGGTGGGCAGTGGCAGTACAACTCCTCTCTGAAGTAATAAAAGAACTCATGCGAGAAATGGTTCTGGATTCCTGTAGCGGCGGGTCGGGAGGCATGCGCTAATACGAAATATAGTACCCCGTATCGTCTTATTCCTTTTGCGCCTTGAGTGCCTAACTAGGTCGGTAAGGGGCTGCTGGAATAGGGAATAGGGTGAATCTCTTTTGTTTTTGTGGTTCTGGTGTGGTGGTGTGCACTGGGTATGCTTTGGCTACTAAGTGCCTATAGTCTGGTGGGTACAACCCTAAGACAACCGGTAGTTCTATGTTCAAAACCCACACATATTAATCCACTCCATCCCTCCCAACGAGGATCCAGCTATGAAACAAGACCCGAAACGTCGGCAATCAAATGTTAGTGTACCTTATCTTACCTACTCTCTATTCTCCCATGTTCGGGGGTGTCACACGACCCGAGGCGAGGCGACGCGACGCGACGTACCTACAGAACATACTCTACTGGGACTCTCCAGAGTACTCGCACTGTACATAGTGGCAGTACTACACATGACTCCAGAGTCCAGATGTTGCACCAACCCGGGACGGGAGATATTGACGACGGGCCTCGGAGGAAAACGAGGTCAGCAGCTCGATCGTATTTGGCATAAGAGCCTCGTTGCGCCTCCATTCCTCGGGAACCATTCGCAGGTACCCTACGTAAGTACGCCGTGCAGACGCCTGCCTCGTGGCTCTCTGGCATCATTGCTACCTAGGTACTCGAGCCAGTTCGCCCGCGTGATCACCGCAAATATGAAGAAGGAGCACGCGGCACCGCGGCATACCCAATCCCCAATACTCGGTGCATATTGCTTTGTTGTGGCGACCGAATGATCCAATTTCGTGCTTGCTTGCATCAGGGCATATCCGCGGGGGGCTCGAGGAAGGGCCCAGTGGCAGTGAGTGGCAGTGGCAAGTGAGCGGTGTGAGCAAGAAGCGGAAAACAAAGACGAAGCCATGAGGAGAGATAGAGGCATTGATTCCCCTTCATACTGCGTATGGGCCTATCGATCGAAAAAGAACGCATTATTGCGAACGTACACAAGCCACTTGTCAAGTTCCAAGAGGCATAAGTACCGGCGGGGGCCTCCGGGAACGATATTAAATATTGAATGATGCTGCGCACAAGAGCCGACCGTTCGGCGGTCTGACTTCCTCGGGGCGGGGCGCTAGACTCCAGAGTGTCTTTCTTCCCCTTGTGCCTGGAGGGCCGGACTCTAGCCTCGAAAGAGTTCAGGGTGTTGATCAGGAGATATATATACGAAGTACGGAGTATTTGGAGGGTACTTCGTATGTTATTTGTCGCGAGCGAGTAGCTGTACGTACAGAAAGGGGCTCGAAGGGCGGAGTTGTCAACTCCGCCGGGCCTGTTGGATGTATCCATATCCGTCCCGTGTAAGTTCCAGCTAACTATAGATATTGATATTAACAATATCGATAATGCGCCTACTGTACGTATCTAGGATTATAAGCACGAGTACGATGCTAGGGATATGTAGCTAGCTGGATGCACAAGAGCGATCCTCAAATAGCACCTCATAGTTCAGTCGGGCTTTAGCCCCAGATACCAAAGCACAAGTCAAAGACAAGCACAGGGACAAGGACTTAAGCATCCCTCCGTACAAGTGACGAATAGGTAGAGGCAGTAGGTGCAGTACCTGGCTGCGAAGTCCTTACTCCGTAAGCCCGCCGCCATTGCATTGCACTCCCTAGAATTGCAATAACTGGCTCGCGGCATGTCACGATGGCCCTCGTGATCGAAAGCCGGCCGTCAGCTGCAAAATCGGGGCACTGGGGCTGTTGTAGGTCGGCTGGTATACTTATAATTGGTACCAGATCAGTACCGGATCGTCGACCCCTGGCCTCGTTGCAGAATTGACCCGAGTACCAGTTCCGATTAGGTACATGTACAGTACAGTACCTTCGCTATGTAACTTAGGGTACCTAGTAGTAGAGCATTGTTCGTAGCCAATACCGAGGGACTTCTGCCGTGGTCGTGGCTCTGGTTCTGGCTTTGGCTCTCAACTCTGCCCGGGCTTTGTCTCATGATCCTCAACGTCAAGTTAACTTGCCAACGCTCTCCCTCTCCCTCTTCCCTCCACATTGCGCTAGACCGCGACTCCACTCCACTTTGTTCTTAGGGGCTAATAATAAGGAGAAAGTGGCTCACGTTGCATCGCTGCTCACCACTAGTACTGAGTCACCTCATGGTTCCATGTTCTCATTGTCCCTTATTCCTCCCTGCCGTCACCAACTGGCTTACCTCCCGAGTCTTCTTATTACCTATCCGTTCCGGTCTTTGGTACTTGCTCTCCAACCCCGAATCCAATCAATTCCCAACTCTCCAGCCGGGCTCTCCAGCTCCGACCTGTCTCCTCCAGCATACTCAGTGCCGTACAAATCCCACATTACTCGCCCACAACGAGCGCTTTACCTGCCAAGTTGAGCAACCTCGCCGCTCATCAGCTCGCAGTGTGATAAACACTGCTGCCTCTCCCCTCCGGCCCATCTCCCGGCAGGTTGCACCAGCCATATACGGAGTAGCTGGCCACTCCTTTGAGCTAGAACGCTGACAGATTCCGAGCCATATCCGTGCCTGAGCCCCCCATCAGCTCGCCTTGGGCAGACATCCTCGATTCTTCACTGGCACTGGCACCCTCTTCGACAACCCATCCGTCGCCGGATACTTTCATCCGTGGCTTGGAAGTCAGGAGCGTCGGGATCCCGGAGTTCATAATTCAGAGTTCAGGGTTCAGAGCTCAGAGTGCAGAGTGCAGAGTTCAGAGGGTCCCCACTAGGAAAAGTCGAAGAAGCCCTTAGGGCGCCTCTAGGAGTACAAGCCTGCTCCAAGGAGCACAGCGGACAGCGTACAGAGCACTTGTACAAGGTGCAGCCCACGGGGCGCAGGTCAGGTTCCAGGGCTCCCAGCGGTGGACGGCGGACGCAGGGCGCCTGGCCTACCAGTCCCAAGTACAGAACAGACTCTCTCCAGAGTACAAGACAGAAGGACGGTGCCACGGTGGTAACTCTACTCTAGTGCTCCCAGACTCCCTCCCAGCGCTCCCTCCCAAGGGCCTGGACCGACAGGGCCTTCCACGGTTCCACCTCCCTTCCCCTGGGCCCTCGCACACCTCGACTGCGCTCCCAGATCGCACATATCCCACATATATCACATCCCTATCACTTATCACATTTCGCATCGCGCCTCCGACCTGCGAACTGCCACCTCCCGCTGCCCGCTGCAACTTCTCGCGCCCTATCTAGGTACACCACTTACTTCCCCGTACAAGCAACATCTCTCCATTCTTCCGCCGCAAACTTCGCTGGGCTTTGTACTTTGCACTCCCCCCCCCCCAAGCCGCCGGTCCAATTATTATCTCTGGATGCCGCGTCGTTTGCCGTCCGCAGCACTCAGACGCAGCACCTTTCTAGGTAGGCTTGCCTGCCTCGAAAGAGCTGCTGCCAACCCCACTATCGCCACCTCTCCGCGCCCTTTGGCGTCCCTCCGATAATGTCGACGATTCTACCCAAGGGGATTGTGGTCAACTCCCCGCAGGGTGAAGACTCCATAGAGAGAATCGGTGCAAAACCCTTAGATCTGGCTGAGATCGCCGGGTATTGGAAAGGTAGCTCAGCTCAGCTAGAGCCTTCCCTGTTACTTCTTTCCCCCCCCCCATCGGCACTCACTCCCCCTTCTACATTCCACCAATCCCTTCCTCCACCACTTCACTACATGCGCCCGCAATGTTTTGATCTGATCTGGCGCAGTTTATACCACCACGAAGCGTAGGCTCCTCGATCCCACGGCGGAGCGCCTGGAGAATTACTGGTGGCGCATATGGGGCAGTCGAAAACGTGAATTGGAAGCCGCAACGGTGGCGCGGCTCTTTCGCTATATCTCCCATGGCCCAACTTTTGTACCCCTCCGAGGACCTGCAAATCGTGATGAAGGAACTCCGCCTTTGGTATGACTGCCCGCTTGCGATTGTGTCGTGCCTTGCCATACTGAATGTGGATGCGTAGGAAAACCAGGCCCGATATGCGCCGGCAGCCTCCAGTGCAACGACTCTTCATCATCCGACCCGGAATCGACAAAGCACAGTTACCTCGTCCGCTACTTCTAGGGCCCCTACGGCCATGCCACATCCGATTCTTAAAAAGACCAGGGGCCCTTCTACGACGGGGCCACGTCCGACGGCCCGGTTTGTCTCTCCCCATGACTCCGAAGAGGAGCGCGATTCAAGCTCATCCGCTGGCTCTAATTCACATGTTGTCGTACAACCTCCTTCGCCCGACGGCGATAATGTAAAGTTGGACGGGAAGCTGCCTGCCTCCGGAAGGAAAAAGCCTGGTTTTGTTGCCTCGACAGCCGGGAAGAAGAAACGACCCGTTATCTCCCGCCGCCAGAGTTCACAGACCTCCCAATCATCTACAGACAGATCATCTACAGGCAAATCACCTACAGGCAAATCACCAACAGACAACAGAACTGCTGACTCCATAGGATCAACGCAGGCATCGCTGCAAAGGACACAGCCTGAGACGTCTGAACAGGAGCAGGGTCGCCCCAAAAAGACCACTCAGTCGAAGTTCCAAGAAGAACTCTCTCCCCCGCACCGCTCATCGGAAACAACACCAGCGTCCAAGGACCAGGGTCCGTCAAATGGCATCCATTCGAAGAATTATATGTCACCAGACTCGAGTGGACGGGAGAGTCAAATGATCAAGCCGGAGCAGGCTGAGCTTGATGCGGTAGAGCAAGGCCATTCTCACCATCCTCGTCCTACAATGACTGGAAAAGGATCCAATGAGCATACTGGATCCGAGGTGGAACAACGTGGTTTGCACCGCGAGCCCCTCGAACATGCCCAACCGCATGTGCCTATCGAGAAGTCTCCGAGGCAAGAGGCATCCCCGTCATTGGAGAACGACCAAGGCCATACTCACCATAAAACACCCAAACCACGTTCTAGCGGAAGTAACGAGACCATGGACGCCCCTCGTCCGTTCAAAAGTGCTGCCAGTTTGGCACCTACGCTTACTGCGGCCACGGCGCATATTGCCCTGGGCGATCCTATAGGCAACGGATCTAGACACTCTCCAACGCCCCCATCGCCCAAGGCTGAGACAAGCAAAAGCAAAGATCAGAATCAGCGGCGGCAAGCCGACATGTTTGCGAAACGACCCGTGCAGCCAATAGCAGACGCGGTAGTTCCAGCACCTGCGGGCCCATTGAGCAAAAGCAAGAGCCAGCTCACTTTATTACTGGAAAAGGACCGGGCAAGGTCTGGTAACCATGTGTCGTCGAGCAGCAAACGATAAACCGTGAGAGTATTAGAAAGAGGTATATCTTGTAAATAAACCCCAACTTCAGGGAATAGGCGACGCCGAGCTGTACACGTAATTAGCTCGACAGGAAAAGTTAAAGGGGAAAAATAACATGGGGAAATGCGACTTGTCATATTTTTATTATTTTTTTATTGGGACGCCAGGCCACCTAGCTGCATTAAATTGGCGCTTTGGGTAGGATGGGACTTCGTTCAGTATGTACTGGGGGGGGGGTTGATTGCATTTCTCTGGGCGTTGATTTCTGAGCCGGGCGTGGGCCTCGGCATCTATCTATGCATACTTTTACGCGTCAACGCTGGGCTGGGGCTTTCTAACCCCATTGTATTTTTATCTGCATGGAATATAGGCATGGCACACACGGTAGGATTTGTACAAATGTTTTTAGGGTATACATAATGAGAAATTTGTGGCCATGTAGGGAGTTGGAAGTTGTTCGTTTACGAGGAGTCGTCAGCCCGAAGAGGAAGCGGCAGAACATTGGTTGCTGCGGGTTCGTAAGTTTCCTTTCTACAGGTTACCTAAACAACTGTGCTTGTCATGCATTCGATAAGTCATCCGCTATTCTCGATCTGTGGAATAGGTATCACAAAGCTTCAGAAACAACTCGTACCACCAACCAGCCTGGCCCAACAGACGCCGCAACTGCAAAGTGTTGTGAGCTAATCAGCTGAGTCCACGTCGAGGCATTCCCCTCCATCGCGACACCGGGAGTTAAAATGATGCCGGCAGCCAACGGGAGGCTTAACATCAATCATGACTTCTGCTTGCATTGAAGATTACCACGTTACACAAAAACCCAGCCTTTGCTTCTCATTACGTTATTGTCATATTTGCTATTGCGTTTGATGTGTGGGGGTGGGAGCATGGTTGATGAAAGAGGGGGTTGTGATATTTTGAAAACACGGGTATTTCCAAAACTCCAAATGTCAAACAATCCCGAATTCTTCGCCCTGCAAAGAAATGGCGTTCCGCTGCGGATCTTGTAATAGATCGTTTGGTAGCCAGCGTTCATTAGATCAACATCTCGACTCCCCTGCTCACAACGCCCGCTGTCAAGAGTGTGATAGGACCTTTGGCAGTCAAAAGGCCCTTAAGCAGCACCTCGAATCTCCTGCTCACGTCCCAGCTCCCGTATACGAGTGTCTGGAGTGCAATCAGAGCTTTGGCAAGCAAGAGGCCCTCGACCAGCACCTCAGCTCTCCTACTCACGTCCAAGATCCAGTGTACGAGTGTCTCGACTGTAACCGGAGCTTTGGCAGTCAGGAGGCCCTCGACCAGCACCTCAGCTCTCCTGCTCACGT